GGGCGTGGGGGAGCGAGGGGGCGTGGCGGAACGGGGCGGAGTGGGGGAGGAGCGAGGGGGGGTGCGGGCGGAACGAGGGGGGGTGAGGGCACGGCGCAGCATGCGGGAAGGGGAAGGCGCTCGCCCAGAGAAGCGGCTCCAAATACTCGACTGCTGCTGCTGCTGCTGCTGCTGCTGCTGCTGCTGCTGCTGCTGCTGCTGCTGCTGCTGCTGCTTCAGTGGCTGCTGCAGCTGCGGCTGAAGCTCCAACTGTTCATCGCCCAGCGAATCAGCTCCCAGTATTTCCACCTCCAGCCCCTCGGTATTCTGCTGCCCATGCTGCCCATGCTGCCGCTGCCCATGCTGCCCATGCTGCACCTGCTGCCCCTGCTCCACCTGCCCCTGCTGTTCCTGCTTCGCACCATCTGTGTAGGAAAACGAACCCGAAGGACCCAGCTCAGCACCTTCCCCCTCTTGTCCCTGCCCCTGTCCCTGCCCCTGTCCTTGCTCCCCCTGCCCCTGTCCCTGCTCCCCCTGCCCCTGCCCTTGCTCCCCCGGCTGCTGCTGCTCACTCTTGTTTCCCACCTCGCTCTGCTTTTTCTCCTCTCTCTCATCACCCTGCCCTCGCGCCTCCTCACTCGTCCCCGCTACTAGCCTCCCCGCCAGCCCACCAGCAGCGCGCTGTTTCTCCTGAATGCGCGTCTCCCGCCACCGACCAATGTCGGGGGACGCGCACTCCGCCGCCGCCGCCGCACCTCCCGCTGCCTCGGCCAGCAGCGGAGTGCCGAGCCACGGCGGGAGGTTCGGGGCCAGGCTCGGGAGTTCCCGTACCTCGACGGAGAAGTCTACTGGCTGAGGCTTGGGATTTCGAACCTGGGGTTGTTCCTCCTCTTCGTCCCCTCCCTCTTGCCCCCCTCCTCGCTCACGCTCTTTTCCTAATGCGCTCTGTATATGGACGTCTCTTGCTGCTGGTGTTGCTGTTGATGCTGCTGCTGCTGCTGCTACAAACATTCCCTCTCCTCCTTCGCCCCCTTTCCCCCCACGTCCCTCTCCCTCTTCCCCGCTCCCCTCATCCGCCATCCCTCCTTCCGCCCCCCCTTCTGGCCCCCCTTCCTGCCCCTTCTTCGTCTGCTCCCACTTCTTCTCCCGCCTCTCCCTCTCCTCCTTCCTTCTCTCCCTCTCTCTCCTCCTCCTCGCCACCCCCGCCGCTTCGTCCTCATCCTCGCTACTGCTATCCCCGTCACTCCCCGCCAAAGGCGGCGGCTCCTGAACGCTAGTAAAGTACGCGTCGGGCGCGTCGGGATAGGTATCCAAGGAGGGTAGGCCACTCCCCGCCACGCCACGATAGCGCGCTGACGTGGACGCCATGGATTGGCTGATGGCTTCGAGAATGCCGCCCGACAGTTCTTTCAGGGCGGGTTTATGCACGTCTTTGAACGCGTCGCCGTCGCCAACGGTCGTGTCTGACGTGGCAAGCGACGACGACGCGGCTAACACGATCCCTGTTTCCGCGTCGCCATCGTCCGAGCTTTCTGCTAAACCAGAGTAACCTTCTTCGGTGCTGACGAGGCTGCTACTAACGAGGATTTCGCTACTAACATCCCCGCTTGCTGATAGAATCTCCTTGTTGAAGACTCTGTGCAGGATGGCGAGTAGCGAACAACCCTGGTCTTTCGCGAACGGGTGGTAACCAATGAGAAAGCAGACAAGGCCGGACGACCATCGCTGGAACAAAACCAAGAGGGCCCCGTGACCCTGCAAAGGTAGGAAATGGACGAAAAAAAAAAAAAAAAAAAAAAAAAAAACAGAGGAAAGTGAGGGGAAGGATAGCCTCTTTCGCACTGAAGAAAATACAAAAGCACTGTCAGCCATGAAAACTGGCCGACGGCCAGCACCTGGTAAACAAAAAAACAGTCAAGCGTTGCGATGCTTTACTAAAATGTGTTAATAACGTGCACACATGTGCTTGAAAACAAACAAACAAACAAACTGTCGACGCATCGTCGTCTTCATTGACAATCGACGCCTTCATTGAACGCAAAGTAGGATTATCATTGAACTCGCAATTAAATCCCAAGTCTCGCATTCCGACGCGCAGCTAACCTAAGGGTAACACACTTGGCTCCAGCCATCAACAAAAATGAATACATAAATAAACAATCCGCGTGGCTCCACAAAATCAAGCCACGTACCAGAGAGTACTGAGAGACGTGAGCGGGAATCGCGGAGGATGCGTTACATATAGGATCTCGAAAGACGTCGGCTTCTCTGCCATACTCCGCTAAGATCGCGCCGTCTTTCGCGATACCTATGTAGGAAACTAGTTCGACCTCCTCCATGTTACTCTGTCAATAACTTAGTATCCTCACGTTGCAGATCACACGATTGCCATCACCGTGGAATAAAATAACAATTCCCAAGTAAATGGCGATTTCTCAGCTATTCAATGCCTTATTCATCATTGAAAAAAACTAACCCTGCTCTAAACGAAGCAAGAGGAGGTGAAGAGCCAGCAACAGGTCACAAGCAATGCAACATTGGAGCTGCTGCAGGCCACAGATATGCTCGCATCGCAACACACGTTTGTGGATAAGGCGGAGCAACCACAAAAGCGACTCTCACGAACAGAAACCTTCATTGAGGGGTAACTTACCCGTGCAGCGAAACGCCTTTCGACCAGAGAAAATGCACCTTCAAATATTTTTGTTCGTTTACCCTCAAGGTGGACTATGACCCCCTAGATTGAAGTAGAGAGTAGCAATGTACATTGAGGTTGGGTACTTCACAAGGTCCTGTATCTTGACGAGAATAACCCGCCAATATTTCTGAGTTTACCCGGGGATCCCAAAATGAGCACAGACCCACAATGATCAAGCAAGTTGTTCCTTCGAGTGTGCTCTGCTGCTCTGGCCAAGGCTACGCGTCGTCCGCGACAATTCGTTTCGTCTATCTTCGTTTTAGGAGCCGTCGTGACTTTTCGCCTACCACTAACTGTCTTGTGGTGTGGTCCCCCTCCCCCACCCCTCCATACACCACCGAAAGTGGTAACTCAGACCCTATTGACGAGATATACTCAGGCTCAATCCCGGGACGGGAATCTGGCGATCGATCCAGCCAATGAAACAGAGGATTGAACAATCTGCTTGTAGCGGGTCAGTACAATTCTCTGTCATCTGCTTATGATTCTCAATCCAACACAGATGAGTGCAAATATGGTAGTAAATTCAACGCTTAAAGTTCGGTTGTGTTCAGAGCCAAATGGGACACTGAATGCTGGTGAGATGCTATTGATACAGGAAAGGAAGCAAACTATAGTGGTAGAATGATGAATGGTTTTTTCCTTCCTTCTATGATTATGAATGGATTTCCTTGTTTCATCCTCTGTCGCGGACAAACGAACAACGCAGTACGAAATCAGGACCTGGTCCCATTTCTGGTTGGTTTTGGAGTGGGAAGGAGACACTGTTGATAATGTAAAAAGGAAGGCTGGATCCAGCATTTTCTGTACATTGAGACATCCTGCCATATCTTAGTGGGGGCTTTTGCGCCGAGGTTTCGCCGAGGTTTAGCATCAATGAGGTACACTGTACGAGGGAAACTTTACGGACAACTATGGTGAACTGTAGTACATGTGTCATATGCCGCAAGTCTGGCCTCCAAGTTTTCTAAAATTGACCCTATGTCAATTTCGTTTCCCATGAAATTCAAGTCGGGCAGTCCATAATTACATTCGGCAGTTCCTGGGTGGCAGGGGATGATACAGGTGTTGCCGCGCTGGAGGGGACTGACTGAGGGGCGAGCGATCAGGGATTTCTGATGGGCTGGGGGAAGAAAACGTACGCACAGCGCGCATGTCAACAGAGGCGGCTAGCGAGGGGTGACAATCAAACCTTCATATCATGCAGAGATCTTTTGGAAATATGTCGAACCGAACTGAAACTCGATCTGGTTGCACAGTAACAAGCCGCGCCACCTCCCCCTCGCCTTAATCCGTCCTCCTCACCCCCATAAGTTGGCGTCCCCCTCCCTCACCTTCAATTACTCCTCCCTCCTTTCCTCCTCCCGCCAACCATTCTTCATGGGTGCACAGCCATAGACTTACATACTGTACAGTGTGCAGTATATGGACTAATCTGTTCACCGAGGTTTCGGGTCTTGTACATTCGTACCTCATGTCAGACTAGGTCACACAAAGTGGGGTATCGGAAGACCCGAAGTGACTTTGTTGTGATTCCTTTTGCTCCGTTCGCAAACAACTGTCTGCATCCCGAATGAATCTTGGGGAAGCGTCTTCCATTGAGTGAGTGCACGCCACATATGAATGGGTTCTGCTGTTCCATCGATTTCTCCAGTTCACCCCTCCCCCCATCCTCGGTTCTTGTTCCCATGATACCATCCCATTCCCCACGCAGACAATCTTTTCCCTGAGGTAACGTGTGGTGTGGTGGTGGGTGCATTCTTCCTCCGTAACAGATTCAGAAGGTTGCCAATAACGGCTGCTGTAGGGTGCTCGACTCCCGGCTTCGCATCGTGATGCAGTCGCGTCGCGTCGTCGTGTGCGCAACTTCCGGTGACTTACCACCTTAGTCGTCAGTCCTGGGGAGGGAGTCGATTAATGCCTGGCTTCACGTTTAGTGAGGGTTTGCTCCGTTAGCGGGCTGCGACTACGATATTATTCGCATGAATGGAATGTAAAATGCTACATGTTGATTTTTTATGGACAGAGCTTTACCTTATCTGCGATAAGCCGCCGGGGTCGTACGGAGCTCGACTTCTCGAACAGGAGTCTCTTGCCGTCGTAGTTTTTTTGTTGTTATGTCTCAAATCAACCTATTAGCCATAGTTTTCTTCCCGAGTATCCGAGTCATTTTCAACTATCACCCTCTATCGTTGACCGTTGAAACGCGGCATCCATGGAGGTAGAATGCGTTTTTTGAGAATTATAAAAAAACGGTTTCACGAAGTTGAGCTGTTTTTTTAACAGCGAGGGATCTGCTGTTCTTGTAACGAGGGGTGCAGTTATGGTAGCGGGAGGCACGGCCGTCGTCTCTCTTTCCGCTCCCTTTTCCGCAAATCCTTCCGCGTGGGAGCAGCACAGCCAGGCGCAGCTTCCCCCGTTCTCCGCCACTCCTTCCGCCATTCCTTCCGCGGACCCCTCCTCATCTGCTTCCGCCAAACCTAGCGCATCCGCGGACATGAATCTCCGCCCAGCCGCGCCAATGCGCTCATCAAGCGAGGGCAGCGGCGCAGTTCGCGCCAATTGTTCCGCTTCCTCCGAGTTCGGTCGTTGCGCGGACGCGGAGAGCGCACGCGGGGGGGGTTTATACCGCGGAGACACGCGCGAAGCATGCGGCGGAGCGTGTGGCGCAGTAAGCGGCGAAGCAGAAAGCCGTTCAGCAGCGGACGCTGGCGACGCGCAGCTGATATTTTACGTGGGGTTGGCGCACCGGGGGGTTGTGCTGGCGGATTACGGCAAGCAGAGGAAGCTTCTGCGTAGCCTCGTTGCGTCAGCGCTCCTCGAGATTCCGCGCCACGTCAGCAGATTCTCCATGGTGCGGATCGCCCGCGTCCCTTGCTTCTTCCGCCAGCCCGCCCATCGCCGCACATTGTTCTTGCATCTCCTTCCGCTGCCCTCTCCTCTTCATCTCACTCCTTTTACTTCTATTTCTCCCCCTCCCCTTCCCGCCTCCCGTTCTCCCTTTTCAGAAATCTTCCCCCCTCGCTTTGCATTCTCCTCTTCCTCCCTACCGCCGTCGTCCCTCACGCCTCCCATCGCCTGTTGCGGGGTCCGCACCTCCCCGTCGCCTCCACCTCACCTTCCCCTCTTCTCCTCGTCCCCCTCCCCCTCCACCTCCCGCTCCCCCTCCCCCTCCCCTTTCCTCTCCCCCTCCCCCTCCCCCTCCCCCTCCCCCTCCCCCTCCCCCTCCCCCTCCCCTTTCCCCTTACCCAACCCCTGCCCTCCCCGGATCCTAGGGTTACGGTCGCACCAACGTCCTGTTCGCCGTCGACCAATCAGGGCTCGCCACGTTTGCAGTCGCTGACGGGGCGCTGGACCGTCCGCGCGCCTACTCCATCCTGGACAGCATCCGATGTGCTTATATCGAGCTCTGTTCGCTCTCCGTTTCTCGCTCCCCCTCCTCCCCCTCCCGCTCCTCCTCCTCCCCGCGCGCCACTCTCCGCTCCGCCTCTCCGCCTCCCGCCTCCGCCTCTGCCTCCGCGATCCCCCCTTCCGCGCGCCGCGCCTTCTCCCCAATCTCCGCGCGTCCTCCCCCTTCCCCCCCGCTCCCCGCGTCGCCTCCCCCGGACACCCCTCCGCGGCCCGCCACCGCGGATCCCGCGTCGCTCCGCGCTTTCGCCAGGCGATTGGCCGGCGGCGTGGGCCACGTCAGCAGGTCGAGCCGTGTCAGCAGCGGCGCGTGCCACGTCAGTGGCAGCGGGCACAGCCACAGGCTGAGTCACAGCAGTCGTGGGGGCAGCGGGCGCAGGGAAACGCAGGGCGGAGGGAGGGAGAGTACCGTTGATGCTAGCAGTGGGGGCAGTGGCGGTAGTGGTGGTAGTTGCAGCAGCGGTAGCAGTGACGCTTGCAATAGCAACGGGACGAGTCGCGAAATGGGAGATTCAGGGACCATGAACGAAAATCACGGAGAAGGGACGACTGGAAGTTCGTTGCTACAGAAGCAGAGCAACGAAGGAGGATCCGCTCACTATAACGGGGATGCATCCGCTCCCTCTAACGCGGATAAATCCGCCCCTACCGTTAACGGGCGCGGCGGCGCGCCTGTCTTCCTGCGCTCGCGATCCGCGCGCCACGCGCACGTGATTGTGCACGAGGCGCTCGAGCCGCGCCTGGAGGTGATTGTGTGGAGCGTGCGCGGGAGATTAAAGCCCAAGGAGCGGCTCGAGTGCTACCCGGACGCGCCTCGGGCGTACCTGGTGAGTCTGAGCCAGGGGGAGAGACCAGGAGGGGGAATGGCGGATTTAGGGAGCAGCAGAGAAGGGGGCGGGGGAAGGGAGAGAACCGGTGCTGCTGGTGATATTGGTGGGGGTGCGGGAGGAGTGGCGGGAATTGGAGGACGGGGGGGTATTGGGGGAGGGGGGGGGCGGAGGATGAGCGCGCGGGAGAGTCTGTTGAGTGAGCTGTCAGACGCGCTGAGGGGCGTGGAGGACGGGGAGATAGGCGAAACGCGGGTGGTATCGCGTCACCAGCGCACGCGGAGAAACTCGCGATCTACATCGTCCCTGGAAGTCAATCTGACGGCTGAGGACATTCCGCTAGCTCTTGGTTGTGGTTTTGCTGGTACTGCTAGTGTTGGTGGTGGTGGTGCTGCTGTTGATAGTGCTACTTCTGCCGCTGCTGCTCCTGACACTGCCACCCACCCAAGTCCTGTTGCCACTGCCGCCGCTACAGCCGCTGCTACACCCGCCTCTGGCGCTGCTACAGCCAGTGCTGCAATCCGCGGCGGCAGGGGCGCGTTCGTAGGGGGGTATTATCACGCGCCGCGCACCATAGCGGGCATGGATGTGTGGGATGATGACGACTCATCGTACGGTGATCTGCCCCTTGGTGCTTCTGGCCGCATCTACTCTGCTGTTGGGTTTGGGGAGATGGGGGGAAGAGGGGGTGCAGGGGCAGGGGCAGGGGCAGGGGCAGGGGCAGGGGCAGGGGCAGGGGGAGGGGGAGGGGCAGGCGCAGGCGAGTTGGGATTAGGGTTGGGCGATGTGAGGGTGTCGCGGCCGTTCCCTGCGCCGTGCGCTCTCGCCGCGACTCTCCCTGCCAGTGCCACGTGTTCCCCCGCTGCTCCCCCGCTCCCCAGGAGCAGACTGCACGCAAGTCAGGGGGGCGCTGTGAGCAGCGATACTGGTGATGCTGATGGTGCTGCTGGTGCTGGTGATGTTGCCTGCACGGGTAGGCTCAGCAGTGGCAGCACTGGTAGGCTCAGCACGGGTAGCACGGTTAGCACCACCAGTATTATCAGCACCGGCAGCACCACCACCATCGGCAGCAGCAGCAGCAGCAGCAGCCGATACGAGCCCAACCTGCTCTCTCACCCGTCGACTTTTTCCATGCCTTTCCCATCCAACCCACTCGCTCACTCTCCCGTCCCTCTTCCCCCAAGTATAAACCATTCCATGCCTTCCCCTCTCTCCGCCTCCCTTCCTCCCCAACCCTCTTTGCCGTCTAAACCCTCCCCCTTTCCCTCCCCCTCCCCCTCCCCATCCCCCCTCTCCAAGCCTCCCCTTGCCCCTCCGTCCGCCACCGCCTCTCCTTCCCCTTCCCCTTCCCCTTCCCCCTCCCCTTCCCCCTCCCCCTCCCCTTCCCCTTCCCCCGGCGCCCTGCCTCCCCACTCCTCTTTCCCCCGGATACCAAACCCCCGCCTCGCCTCCCCTCTCGCACCTGGTCTCCCCTTCCCCAACCCCTCTGCTCCCCCTCCGGTCCCTACAAATGCTGTCCTTTCCTCCCCCCCCCTTCCTACTGCCTCCATCCCTGTGCCTCATGCTATCACACCCGCTCCCACTGCTGCTCCTCCCACCCCTGCCGTACTCCCGCCACTTCATCCCTCCGCCGCCCCGCCTGTTCGCCGCCCGGCTGCGGCATCCGACTACGAATCGTGGGTGACGGAGAGCGGGTCTTGGGCGGCGGCAAGTTGGGAGTGCCGCCCGGGTGGAGATAGTGTGGGTATGGTTGCAGTTGCTGCTGGTGGAATGGCAGTGGCAGCAGGGCGGGCAGGAGTGGCAGGAGGGGCAGCGGCAGCAAGGGTGTGTGCAGCAAGCGGAGCAGCGGCAATATCATATGCACCAGCCTCACAGCAAGCACTATCTCATATGGGCTTGCAAGGGTATTACCAGGGGGGGGCGTCTCAAGTTCAGCCCTCTTATATTGGCCCGCAAGGGTCCTACCAGGAAGGGGCGTGTCAATCTCAGCCCTCATATATTGGGCCTCAGGGGTCCTACCAGGAAGGCACGTCTCAAGTTCAGCCGTCATATATTGGCCCTCAGGGGTACTATGAGGATGATGGGGAGGAGGACGAGTATGGTGCACCCGTTGACGCGTATGGTAACCGGGTAACGGGTAACCCGGCACCTCTGCTGCCTCTCTCTGCCCCGGTTTACTCGCCCTATCCGCCCTCCTTCCTCTCCTCAGCCGCACACTACAGCAACACTGCTTATAACGGGCCTGTCTACAGTGACGCTGGCTACAGTAACGCTGGTTACAGTGACGGGCAGGCGAGCGGGCAAGAGGGCGACAAGGGGTGTGAGGGGCAGGAGGGCAAGGAGGAGAAAGATGGGCGGTTGAAGGGCAAGAGCATGCATGTGAGGCATGTTTCCATGGACGGGCAAGGGGAGACAGATGCTTCGGACTCTGCTTGTGCTGCTGGGAGGGCCATTGATGGCATGGCTGCCGCTGGGTCGACTGGTGCTGATGGTGGTATCCGGGTCACCTGGGCACGAAGGGGGCTGGGAGTGAGTGCAGGCAAGGGAGGGGGAGGCGAGGGGAGGTTTGGGGGGGTGCATGTGCCGTGGGGAGTGCGGGGGAGTCGGGGAGGGGGAGGGGGAGGAGGGAGAGGGAGAGGAGGAGGAGGAGGTGGAGGGGGGAGGGTGAGGGGTTCAAGTCCTATGTCCCCAATGCTGAGAAATGCGTGGAGGATGATTAGAAGCAGCTCTCTCAGTGAGAGGCAGGGTGAAGGGGACGATGCTAACGCTGCCGCTGCCGCCGCCGCTTCTGCTGGTGGTGGTGGTGCTTTTGGTGGTGCTGGCGATGGTGCTGCTGCTGGTGGGGATGGCACCCGTGGTGGTGCTTTTGCTGCTGCTGGTGGCTCTGCTTCAGTGGGGAGTGCTGCCAGTGCCTGTGGCGGGGGGATGCAGCCGGGGGGGGAGCGAGAGCGGGAGGGCGGGAAGCGGTGGTTGCTGGGAGGTGGAGGAGGGAAGGGTTTGTGGAAAGGTGGGCTGAGGGTGAGGAGGGAGGGGGGGGAAGGAGGGGTACATGGGGGGAGATGGGGAGCGCATGGGGGGGTAGACTCACACCACGGGGTTACTTTGCAGGGTACACCACCAGTTACACCACCTGGTATGCCTACACCAGGAGGAGCAAGTTGAACGAGGGTAATTACACCAGGGGAGCATATTTGGCTAGGGTGATTACACCAGGGGTGGACCCTGGACTAGGGTAACTACACAAGCGGAACACATTGGACTAGGGTGACTACCAGGAGGAATACTACCGCAGTGGACTTGCGTTCGACGGTCGTATTTTGGGTGTGGGATTTCTCGTCATTGTGTCGTGTCGTGTGACGTGTCACTTTGCTTAGAGCCTTGTGTTGAGAATACCGTATGTTTGCCTATGTTTGGGTATATGGGATGCATGCATATACCATGTCCATGTCACTGTTTACTGTACCATACCATGGTGCTTGCTTGCGCAAGCAAAATATGCCACACCACGCCACGTCGTTACGGAAATATTACTTGATCAACACAGCAAAGCTGTTGGCACAATTTGAGTCGAAATCTGGTGCGCTATCTCTGTACGGTATGAGGGTACTACTGTATGAGAAAGAATACCTGTATGCTAGATGGAGCTGATGATATACTGGTACCAGTATAATGAGTGCAAACAACTACAGGTACTACACCTTAAGCAAAAAAAAATCAGAGGTGACAAACAATAGCAAGCAACAGGTGAGTTGCCTTGCTATTGCCATTACCATGTAACTTCCTATGCGAATTGCATAGGCTTGTGTTGTCTCCTCTCCGAGACATAAGTCCGTGACGTGACCATGGCCTCATGGCAGGGAGGGAGACAACAGAAGCGAGTCCAAATCCAAAGAACTGGTCGTCAAATCAAAGGGAGACTACCGTATGACCAGACCAGGGCTTGTGTAGTGAGGCTGTTTTTACGGCGCCTCAAATAATTTGTTTGTCGGCCACCTCAAAAACTGTATCCCTGCCTGCCATGACCATGGGCCTGGCGGAAT